TATAATAAAACAAACCATCGAAAAAATGGAATTATTCTGATCAAAATCGATCTCGTACGAGTTTCATAATAGATGACCAGATATTGCTAACTCAATTCCATCTCGACTTATGCCATCGTGCACCTTCCCTATAGTCTTGTTTACTTGCATAATGCTCGCAATATTCGTCAGCCGTTCTTCTGACTGTATTCGGTACATCCAGAAGACCTATTACGGTTTTCGACTAAATTTACTCCACATTAGCATTTCACATAGCCTTGGTCACTCAATTATGGAAGTGTCCAGTGGAAATGTATGGTAACTAGGCGATAGTGATCTCACATTTTCACCAAGTCGATAGCGCCACTGTAATTCAACAGGGAATTGATTATGTATTAACACAACGTAGTGAAAATTACTAAAATGAACAAATTCGCTGGTTATTGACCAATGAAATGATAAATATTTTGGTAAATTCTCTCATTCTTGTAATTTTCACAAAGTTTTTGTAATACAGACTCAAAACTGCGTGATGTCGTCTTATATTTGGTAATAGAGATCGTAAATTTTTAATAAGCATTTATATAGCTTCCCTGAAAAATCTTTGTAAAATTATAAAGTTGTTTATGTACTCATGTACTCATTTTACTCGACTGTATTTTTTATTTTTATTAACTTTAAACATGAGCTTTAAAAAAATATAATCTCCGGAAGTGTTAATCGTATTTACGTAAAGACATGCGGAATTCACTTTCCAGTATACTAAATAGAGATCTGAGGATCCTGTAATCTTTTTCATATTTTCAGTATTGTATTTTATCGATATTGCATAAATACCATAAACATTAAATTATCCATTGTATATGGAAAAAAGTTGTTCTCTTGTCACTGTTTGACTTCACCTTTTCATGTGAAAGAGCATTCGTAAGAATCGCCTGTTTTTATTCCCACGATTTTGGAACTAAATTGTGTGCCAAATGATACCTTATGATGAGACATTTAACATAAAAAATTTTTAAGTTGAGAATTGGTTACAGAGATATGGAGGGTTAAAGTTGTTAAAAATTCATTAACCCATACACTTTAAGGTATGAATTTTTATGTCAGTTCGATAATTTAAAACTTCGTACTCGGGGGTTTTGTTGACAACAAATTTGAAGTTAGATTTTCAAAATTCAGTTTCAGTTTCAAAATCGCGGGAACAAAAACGGGCGAAAAAATCACTGATTTTACGGATGTTCTTTCGAGCCCCGAGCAAGTAATTTCATATTTTCACGCAGTAAGATCAATTATAAGTTGCTCTCACTTCTCTCCGTCATTTTTTTGAAAATCGTAGATTTTCTTGTCAGAAAGATCTATTTATTTTGTTAAGATCCATTTAATTTGCTAAAGAACATAGTAAATCTCGCTAGAAACATAGCAAAAATTTCCAATAGTAAAGTTCAAAAGTTCCTAAAATATAAATGACATGAAATGAAAGGATCAAGAGACAAAGTAGTCTCGCGCTAAGTACACGTGCAAAACAACAGCGTACAATACAGATACGATACAGAAGATAGAAACGAATGAAACTTATGATTTTATTGGAAATGACTTTTGAATTCAATAGTAGTAAGTGACGAGATAATTTACGTAAACCGCGAGACCGGCCTTAGCTGCGTTGGGTATTGTAAATTGAAGACGTCGGATTGCTCTTTTACCTCGAAAATGTATAAAAATGAGAGAGATATGAGATCTTTTTCATCTTTATCATCTTTTTCATTTCTATGCATCTTCGAGATGAAAGAACAATCCGACATCTTCGATTTACAATGCCAAACGCAGCCCATATATATTTATATTGCCAAACTAGCTAAGCGCAGGCAAGATTTATTCGACTGTAACGGCTAAACCAATGACGTTCTCGATGAACTTAATCGATTGTTTGGATTTATATCACATAATAAATTAAAGATTGTTCCTTGGTTACACAATTCTTTCTATAGTAATTTTTACTATAGAATTTTTTCTGCGTAGTAGTAGTTACGTGTCGTCTTGAAAGTTTGACAAAGAACCCTGTATGATTCTCATGAAAAAAACGTTTTCAGTCAATTTACTTGAATTTGTGGTATGTTGCAATTCTTGCACACAGCTGATAAAAAATTTCAATAAACTAAAACCCTTGTATAACTAGTTTCTGAATTAAAAACATTTGAAAGTCTCTTTCAGACAAATTGAAGATGTTTTTCTCATAAGAGTACTCTCTCTATCTCTCTCTCTCTCTCTCTTTGAACATTGAGTACCGTATTAGATGTTGGTCTGATGGTCGAAGAAAGAGAGGAAATGCGTTTTGTCAACTTGAAGTCGACGATTTGGAACAATAAACGCCTGTTATTGTTATTATTATTATTATTATTACTTTATATTCGCTTCTTATCAGTTATATAATTTTTTGTTGACTGACCTTCTAATCATTTATTTGTATTATATGGGTCATTACTGCACAGAGGCACAACGGCGGAACGCAAGTAGAGGGGGGAGGTCGGGCAATTTTCTAAATATTCGTTATGGCCGATTTGTCGTTGTTTATAAATGCGCGCTCCTTATTGAACCGCGTTTAAATATATCTTGACGTTCGCGAAACAATCGTGGGCGCTCAATGCGATATAAATAATCATAATGAGGCTCTTGCGACTTGTGAATACAATCATCATGTGAGTAGTTTTTCAAATGGCGTATATAGTAACTCGCGGCTCTTCCACGATTGGTGATCGTAGCCTATCGGTAGCAAAATCGCTTGCATACGTGTGTTATAGTCAATCACGGATACGTCGCAAATTCGAAGTAAAACACAACGGCGTTTAGAGAAGAAGGTAACGAGAACCTTATTGGGAAACACGTGCGTACACAAAGACGTAGTTGTCACAAGGAAGCGAAGAAAATACTGAAATACCTTTATCACAATAATCATATGATCGTTTAAACTGTACGGCGCGTATTATCTATCTATACACGGTATTATCATGGAACTCTTTACACATAGATAAATGTTTCCTGCTAGAACTATTAATAGCATAGTTGGTCTCCAAGCAAGTGAATTGTGGTTACACAATTCTTTCTATAGTAATTTTTACTATAGACTTTTCTTCGCGTAGTAGTAATGTAGTTACGTGTCATCTAGAAAGTTTAACAAAGAACCCTATATGATTCTCATGAGAAAAACTTTTTCAGTCAATTTACTTGAATTTGTGGTATGTTGCAATTCTTGTACACAGCTGATAAAAAATTTCAATGAACTAAAACCCTTGTATAACTAGTTTCTGAATTAAAAACATTTGAAAGTCTCTTTCAGACAAATTGAAGATGTTTTTCTCATAAGAGTACTCTCTCTATCTCTCTCTCTCTCTCTCTTTGAACATTGAGTACCGTATTAGATGTTGGTCTGATGGTCGAAGAAAGAGAGGAAATGCGTTTTGTCAACTTGAAGTCGACGATTTGGAACAATAAACGTCTGTTATTGTTATTACTATTATTATTACTTTATATTCGTTTCTTATCAGTTATATAATTTTTTATTGTCTGACCTTCTAATCATTTATTTGTATTATATGGGTCATTACTGCACAGAGGCACAACGGCGGAACGCAAGTAGAGGGGGGAGGTCGGGCAATTTTCTAAATATTCGTTATGGCCGATTTGTCGTTGTTTATAAATGCGCGCTCCTTATTGAACCGCGTTTAAATATATCTTGACGTTCGCGAAACAATCGTGGACGCTCAATGCGATATAAATAATCATAATGAGGCTCTTGCGACTTGTGAATACAATCATCATGTGAGTAGTTTTTCAAATGGCGTATATAGTAACTCGCGGCTCTTCCACGATTGGTGATCGTAGCCTATCGGTAGCAAAATCGCTTGCATACGTGTGTTATAGTCAATCACGGATACGTCGCAAATTCGAAGTAAAACACAACGGCGTTTAGAGAAGAAGGTAACGAGAACCTTATTGGGAAACACGTGCGTACACAAAGACGTAGTTGTCACAAGGAAGCGAAGAAAATACTGAAATACCTTTATCACAATAATTATATGATTGTTTAAACTGTACGACGCGTATTATCTATCAATACACGGTATTATCATGGAACTCGTTACACATAGATAAATATTTCCTGCTGAACTATGCTATTAACAGTTCTAGCAGGAAACATTTATCTATGTGTAATGAGTTACATGATAATACCGTGTATAGATAGATAATACGCGCCGTACAGTTTAAACGATCATATAATTATTGTGATAAAGGTATTTCAGTATTTTCTTCGCTTCCTTGTGACAACTACGTTTTTGTGTACGCACGTGTTTCCCAATAAGGTTCTCGTTACTTTCTTCTCTAAACGCCGTTGTGTTTTACTTCGAATTTGCGACGTATCCGTGATTGACTATAACACACGTATGCAAGCGATTTTGCTACCGATAGGCTACGATCACCAATCGTGGAAGAGCCGCGAGTTACTATATACGCCATTTGAAAAACTACTCACATGATGATTGTATTCACAAGTCGCAAGAGCCTCATTATGATTATTTATATCGCATTGAGCGCCCACGATTGTTTCGTCAAGATATATTTAAACGCGGTTCAATAAGGAGCGCGCATTTATAAACAACGACAAATCGGCCATAACGAATATTTAGAAAATTGCCCGACCTTCCCCCTCTACTTGCGTTCCGCCGTTGTGCCTCTGTGCAGTAATGACCTTTATCACAATAGTTATTTGATCGTTAAAACCGTATCGTTAAACGGTGCGTATTATCTATATTAAATATTATTATCGAACTCGTTACACATAGATAAATGTTTTCTGTTACGCTCAGCTAGAGCTGTTAATAGCATAGTTGGTCTCCAACAAGTGCGGTTGCAGGCAACCCCAGAGGCTCACAGTTCGAGTCCCAAAACTCATTCGAGAACTCGAATTCATCGCAAATGTGGAATATGCGCGCCGCATATTTATTCAGAAGTTTGTGTTTTACTTTCAGGAGACTCATCGTCATGTCACATCACATCGTCACCGTCTGTGTGGTGTGCGTGCTGTGCGCTGCGCATGTCCCCTGCTCGGCGCACACGGACTTATCAGCCGCGGTGGTGAACACAGTGCTGCACAATTCGACAAATACCAGAAACGATTCTTCGAATTTGAAGGCGCACGGCCAACCGTTGTGGACGTTAGAAAGACACAAAGAGGAGATGGCGTACTCGAAGGAGCGGGACAAATCGTACGTGAATAGTTTCAGTAGCAATAATAAGCGCGACGTTGTGCGGTACAACGATACAACGAGGCGTATTATTAACGGTAATAATAATAACGCCCGAATGAACGGCGACGCCATAGCGAACGATGATACCTATGTTAAGAAGAAGATAGCGAAGAATTTCAAAGGCGGCGGGAGCGCGAGGATACAACAACAGCGACAACAGACGTTGACGAACGAAAACACGTCGTCCGCCGACGACTCGAGGGATACAGAGCTCTTGAAGCGACTCGCGCAGACCGAGTGGCTGTTGGCTTCCAAGCTCACACGATTTAAGGAGGACTCGCGTACCGTTAATACTTCTAGATTAAAAAGGGATGTAGCTGTAGACGAGAGGTACTTCATGAAGAAGATCTTCGAGGCCTACGGGGATGGAACGAGCTTAACTATGGGCGGCTTCGAGAAACTCGTTCGCAAGCTGGGTCTACTAAGGTTATTGAACGATATATCTACACTAGAGGATGATAGCGTCGACAGGAGTATGCGTAAGAATCAATTAGGTAATGTATATGAGACAATCACTTATAAATCAATATTTACCGTCGACTTTCGACTTTTGTAAAATCGACGATAATTTATTACAAGATGTCTGAAGATAAGTCTTCCATATCGCGTGTACATGTAGCTTCCCGGAAAAGAAAGGTTTATATGGATTTTGTCCATATATGGCCATGGATGATCATATATAATTATATATATCCACATTGAAAAGTATGCTGTTGTGAGAAGATACAATTGAAATAAACTTACTTGTAGTATAAACTTATTTGTGGTAGAAGGTACAATTGAAATAAATGCTTGTTTATGGTAGCCCATGATCGATGTTAATTGAATCAAATAATGATTTTCTTTTTTCGTTCAATAGTATATTTAACTATAGAAGAAGGAAGGCGGGACGCGTATCTTTTCGCGCATTCGGGAGCTGCGTATCTTTTTGTTCCAGAGAGAGAAAGATATCGAAAACGCAATTTGCTAGGCCGGGATTCGATTCCGGGTCTTTCGCTTGCCAGATAACTGCTCTAAACCACTGAGCTACTTGACGCTCCACGCTCACGACATTCTCCTCTCCCTAAATAACGCTCAGAGATGCCGCTCAGAGATTTGTTTTATATATGAACATGTATAATTAGATATATAAATGATCATATATAAAATTACATGCATGGACAAAATTCATATATAATAACTATTATAATATAATAATAGCTATTATAATTCTATTTTGCATCAACACATCTTATTTTGTAAACAATCACAAAATTTCGAGTTATTAAGAAGATTGCCGAAGAATCAGGCACGTAGATGAGTTGCTACAGCGATATCTGTCATCGTGTGTTTCAAGATTAGTTCAAATTGAACGAAGAGTTCTATACTATTTTGCAAAGAGCTATTTTTAAATTTTTAGTTATTAATTAAAGAACATTGATGCACGCGATAAATTTGCCAATCGCATCTTTAATTAATAATTAAAAAATTTACGTGGTTGTTTGCAAAATAGTGGAGAAATTTTCGGTTTTAGTTTGATCTAACTTACAATGTATACATGGAGAATATTCGATTTGACCTATTTTGCATGTATACGATATATGGGATACTATCGTTAGACACTTTGTATAATAATATCGATGAATTCGTCAGTTTGACGTCATATGATCGTTACTACCGTTCTGTACACCTCTGAACAATCACATTAGATAGACATATTTCGGCATATTGTCTATTTAATGATTAGCGCAAGTACACAAAGATGTGTATTCATACAAGAATTTTACACAAAAGAAGTCATCTGATGCTACATTGAGAAAAAAAGCAGTTGGATAGATAAAATCGACGGTCATCAGCCATCAAAGAAATATCATATCCAGGGAAAAAAAGATTATATCTAATTATATATAAATATATATAAATATATATAATTATATATGAATTTTGTCCATATATATGACCTTATATATGATCATATCTAATTATATATGTTCATATATAAAACGAAAATTGTCCAATGAAAAAAGGAAAATTTAATTCGATTAAACGTCGATATCATGGGCTATCATAAACATAAGCATTTACTTCAATTGTATCTTCACAATAGTATTCTTTTCAATGTCGACATATATAATTATATATGATCATATATAACCATATATGGACAAAATTTATATATAAACTTTTTTTTTCCCGGGTTCTATCAACAACATACGCGTTGGCACAACAATAAGTTGCATAGAAATCACTATATCTGCATTGATATAGTAATATAGTAACGCAATTTATTATTGTATTAACGTGTATTTTGTTGAATAGATCCAATATTTCTTTGATGGCCAATGTCCTCCAATTTTGTCGATCCAATCACTTTTTTTTCAGCGTAATGAAAATTGCGGCAATATTCGGATGTCATGAAAATTGTTACCGAGAAAAATTTTGCCGAGAAGAGAACACAATAATCCGGAATTATTTTAGTAATAAGAAATAAATATTTTGATTAAAATTTTCGCGTAATAAATGGATATTTCTTAAAACAGATATAAAAATGAATTTTTATATTTTTAACGCATTGTGCTGTTTGAACACAGCATCACAAAGTATACATTAAATATTTATATGCTATGTTCGACATTTCTGCTTATCTGGAACTGTCCGTTGCGGACCATCCTATATTTCTCACTTTTTCTTGTTTTTTATATAACAATGTAAAACAGACTTGATTAGTTTATGTGGATATTGAATGAAAAATGGTTACTGTCACACTTATATAACGTTGGTCTCTCCTGAGAATCGATCAGTCGCACGTCTGCGACGTGTTAATTTATATCTTTATTTTTTTCTCGGTGTAATAAAAGGTGTCAGTTAAATCAGTAATGATGCAGTGAAAAAGAACTTGATTAATTGATTATGCGTATTTATTTTTATTACAGATAGTAATAAGAATTTTCCAAATAAAGGCCTACAGGATACAGATAGTAAGAACGACAAAGAAAGGGTAAGCGAAAAGTTATTCGTTAGAATTCTTTTTTTATATATATTTTCTAAATTTTTGAGAGTGAAATTTTATCAAACAAAACGAGTAAAAATTCATTTATCCTTAGAACACTATACTTCTTGTGAGTCCCGATTTCATTATATTGGAGTAGTGCACCCAGAACTTGTAATGATCAATATTTCCTCGAAAAGCAGATATTTTTTTAATGTGAATACTAAAATGTCAGTAATACACCTATATCAATAATTATGATTGAGGTTTTATAAAAAAATTTAATTTTGCAAAAAGACCGAATAGAAATTTCTTTAACCACAAAAAAGTTATTTACTTGAAAATTTATAGTTTTTTGTAACGCTGTATTCTATAAAATTAATTGCTATTTGTTAAAGATGAAGAATGTAATTTTCCAGAAAAAACGTGAAACAATGATTTAAAAAAAAATGTTATTTTAACATGAAGAATTTTAACATCAAGGCTGATTTTAACGATGTTTTTTACATCTTCTAAACAGCAGATAGGATTACCTGCAACACAGTAAAGGAAAGACAAGTTCTTTTCTCTCATAGTCTTACCTTTCACTGTATAGAAATAGCTGGTGTTTCTACAATATGGATGTGGTACATTCAAGTGTGGTGTTCTAGGGTTAAGACAATAATGAAAATACTGAATCACAGAGGTAAACGTTTAACTTCTTGCGTTGATATTTATTTGGCAAACTTATGGGACGTATGCATCTATTTAAGTCCACATTTGGAAAAAACGAAAGTATTTCACAACTCGATTTATATCTACTTCACACAGTCTTGCAAAATTTTTTTAAAGTGTATTTTGTTATTACAAAATAATAAAATCGCCAAATTTGTATATATATAACTCACGATGATACAATTCCTAGGAGACATTATTTCAACACAAGGACTTAAACTCAAAATGGATTCTTGATCCATTCAAGCGAATGTTTCAATTGATTAAGGCGAATTTGTTCCAGAGCCACTATTTTGTACATATGTTCTGACAATTATCGGTACTAGAGGTCTTCTAATCAGAATTCGAACAAAGTGTAATGACCCCTGATTGATTCGCATCCTATCTGCTATGTTTAGGAATGATATGATGGGAGTGAAAGAGAAATTCTAATAGAAGACAAAAAGTAACTTTAAGATTGAAATGATGAAGCATGCTGCAATTTCTCTCTCATTCACTTCCTCTCTGCAAATGGCGGCTGATATCCTAACTCTGATTTGAGGAACTCTAGTCGGTACGCTAATGATGTCTGTCATTAGCGTCTTTCATAATTATGAATAATGAAAAATTATGAAAAATGAAAATTATGAATAATGAATTATGAAAAATGGCAATTTTTATAAAAAATTTTAATGTAAATAAAGACGTAGCTAAACAGTGCCACGCAACACAATCTAAAATCGGGATATAAGATGTCTGAAAAACGTCTTAAAAACGTTTCTCAGACGTTAGTATATAAGACGTCTTTAAGACGTTTTTAAGATATATCCCGATTTTAGATATTATTTTGTGTGAGATTAAATATATTAAATTATATAAAAAATTAGATAAATATGTATTTGTAACACATCAATTTTTTTTACAACTTCATGTTTGACTGATTTATATAATGTTATGAGATCATTTTTCAAAAATTGTATGTCACGTACAAGATGTCTTGTTAAAAATGTTTATAAACGACAAGTATCGTTAATCGTTTACCATTGATAACAAGAAGTTGCAAAAGGCGCTAGTTTGTCTTAAATATTTATTTAATTATCGAGTGAAATTGGATGTCTTTAATTTTTTTTTATTTTAATTCAATTTTGTGTAAAAATTACCATCTTTCATACTTTATTATTTAAAGTTATTCATAATTATGACAGACTCTAACGACAGACGTCGTTAGCGTACCGAATCGACAGTTGTTGACAGTCTATATCTTATAACTTTTAACAACAGCTTTTCTACCATATACCTGCGCAACGACAATATAACGATAGCATAGTTTATCGGGACAATATTAGCTACAATATATATATATATATATATATATATATATATATATATATATATTCAATATTGGCCCAGTATTGTAAAGTAGATGCTTGGTATCTTATAGCCAATATAAAATTCTCAATATTGGCAATTCCTTTGTTAATAATATTGGCTAATATTGAATTATATTGAATAATATTGAGTTATATTGAATAATATTGAATAATATTGAATTATATTGGCTAATATCGAGTTATAGCTTAATGTATCCCTAATGTATGCCAATATTGGTACAATCATTTTATGCAATACTGGAAATTTATTTACATTTTATTTATACCAGTATTTATATCAGTATAACCAGTATTGACTATATATTGGCTATATTGGCTATATTGGCCTAATATATTTTAATGTAACTAATATTGGGCCGATGTAACGCCAGTGAACTGTACTATTAGAGTAATAATACTATCGTTAAAAGTTATAGAATCAATAGGTAGGTATATACAGAATAGTGGCCTAGCAACGCTGGAATATAGTCGGTTATGAGACGGTTTAGACATAATGGGACTTCACCAAACCGTAAAAATTGAGAGTAATTATAATAATTATTATATTTAATATTTACATTATTATTAATAATAATTGATAATATAATTACTGCGCGCAAATTTGTCGGTAATGATTTGCAATTTTGACAATTTGGTCAGATACTAACTTTATTCCCTAGCAGGACATATTAGTTGGCCAACGGTTGGCCATTGTAAATTCTACTTTGGCCGCTATAGATCCAACATTGGTCCAATATTTTATGCTACTCGAGTTGTGTCTAAATCGGCTTGCAACTAAAGTCTAATTTACAATATGTTCTTTGCTTTCTGTTTCTTATTCTCTATATCTTTCTGGCTAAAGATTTTCTGACTAAGGATCAAGTAAAAAAGAAATAAGAAGCAAAGAACACATTGTAAATCTGGACTAAAAATATATCTTGTAAATAAATGTATTCTTTGTTTCTTGTTTTTTTTTCTTTATCTCTTTCTAACTCAAATTAAATATTAAGCCTTACCCAGCGAAAAATCACTTGTCGATTGATGTCGAAACAATGTTGATTCGATGTCGAAACTGCCAAATCGACATTGATTCGACATCGTTTCGACATCGATCAAAAAAGTCATTTCTCGCTGGGTAGCCCAGATTTATAATGTCATCTTTGCTTCTTGTTCCTTTTTCTTTATCTTTTTCTGATTTAAATCTCAAGCAAAAAAATATAAAAAACAAGGAACAGAGAGCAAAGGATACATTATAAATCAGGCCTTAAGCCTGATTTAAAATATGCTCTTTGTGTTCTGTTTCTTGTCTTCTGTCTTTTTCTGGCTTAAAGCTTAAGATTTGAGTCAGAAACAGATAAAAAGAAAGAAGCAGGAAGAGCATATTGTAGGTCAGGCTTTAAGCGTGATCTTCAATGTGTTATTTGCTTCTTGTTTCTTTTTCTTTATTTTTTTCTGACTCACATCTTAAGTCTTAAGCTTGATCTATAATGTGTTATTTGCTTCCTATTACTTTTTCTTTATCTCTTTCTGACTCAAGCCTTAAACCTTAAACCTTAAACTAAAAAAAGACAGAAAACAAGAAATAGGAAGCAAAGAACACATTGTAGATTAGGCTTTAAGCCAAAAAAGACAGAGAACAAGAAACACGAAGCAAAAAGTACATTGTAAATTAAGTTTAAGTGTATGAGTAGTTTAAGTGCACAGATGTATTAACATATTCGTATTCAGTATGACGAGTTGCTTACTCGTTAGCAAATATGCGTGCCCGGACATAGACTTATTTTGAACTTGACAATATATTCGTTTGTGTAAAGGAGATTACATTCATTTCTATAATTAAAGGAAACATGAAAGTATTGCAAATCGTTTTACTCGTCATGTTGACATGTATGTTGCTGTAACACTCTGTATATAGACCAGTAGTATTTAACATTTATTTGAATTTTTCGATTACACGTGTTGTGTCTACATATTCGTGAATATTAATTGCGCGCGAAAATTCATTGAAATAGCTACGATATCTATTAGTGTTTTTATATACATTTTTTACATTACAAATATCACTGTTCGAATAATATTTATGATATTGTTAGTGATTTTTCGAATAATTAGTAGTAATTCTCGAATATATAGACTGCGTGTAATTGAAAAAAAAATCTCAATAATCACAGGTCTGATAAATGTTAAAAATATTATAGCCAGTCTATATACATTAGATTCACTCTTCAGTTTTGAGTGAAATTTCATTCACAATGAAAACATTCTATTTATGATTATTACAATACGAATATATTCGTTTACGATTCAGAATAGAAGAATTCATTTTATAATAAATGAATACCATTACAAATTTTTAAGGTATATAGAGGATTCATAGTTAATCAATTTGTTTTTATAAGGAATCGCGTCGCGTGATAGGTATCGACATTAGTGCAATTATCAGAAAGTGGATTGTGAAATTTAGTCTCAGTTCTGATTAAAAGTAAAATATCTCGAAAATAACGGGTTTCAGAAGAAAGCAAGTGAAATTTAGTCTCAGTTCTGATTAAAAGTAAAATATCTCGAAAATAATGGGTTTCAGAAGAAAGCAACTCAGTGGATCCAAGTGTGCAAAAAATTGCCTATCACGTGGCGCACAACCGGGATCTTTTCCGGTCTATAGCACGGAAACGCGTCGTTTACAAACATGTGTTTTTAATGAAAAAAAAATGATTCGCTTACACACCTTAAAAGTTTATAATAGATATTCATTTACACACTGTATATATAAGTGAAATTCGATTCTGAACAACTCGACTGTTACGCTTCTTTTCATATGGAATTTCACTTGAAGAAATTTAGAAAATACTTTTGTTCTTTTGACCATCGACATAATTAAAATACTTTGAAAAATAGAAGTATATTAGGCTTATAAAAGCCAAGCGCTGGATCAAATACGTGTAATAAACGAAAACAAAATATGTAATTAAATAACTAAGAATGCATTGATAATACTATAAACATACTAGCTGGACAATGCTATAAATATGACCATTATATCATTATAGAATGGAGATATGCTATATCATAATTTCAAACTATGAACGCGCTATTTCTTCCGAGATAATGCGTTGGTAACATTATTATTCGTGAACTTTCTAGATGATGTCGGTAATAATTATATAGCAGTCGTATATCGTTCGAAAGTGTCGACGTTATACATTAAATGTTATGCGTTGTTGGCTTTACTATAATGGATCTTTCCGTAAAAGTGCATTTTCATCATTTTTCACTCTGTACACATTTTTTTGTTTCCTTGCATATTTGCACAATTTTCAATAATAATCGTTTTAAATATTTTCTTCTATCTGAACAGAAGTGATGTTAACAAACATAAACACATGTCGAACTTTTCTAAATGATGAAGAATCTATTAGCCCTCAAATTAATGTTAAAGTTAATGTTGTTAATAATTTTTTTAATTTTATAAGCAAATTGCAAAAAGAACTTTTTTATATCGATTCTATTTGGATTATTTTTAATGCATGATGTAAACGCAATTATTGATGATGTAAAAGTAAATGCTACGCATTAGATAATAAAAAAGAGAATTTTTTAGTTCTTCCATAGTATAATGTTGTGATGGCTGCTATGATTCCTACGAGAAACTAGCGAACCCAGGAATCCGCGTCACTCAACCGCGTAATTCCAAATGCGGGATGTTGAAAATGCGGGTAAATTAAGCAATCGCCAAGAGTATAGATGGAAAATGCGTACAACGGATGTTGGGATTCAGTACTGACACATCTGTAACGCGATAATAGCAGTAATAATGAGTAATATCAGCTTTGGGTACATCAAAATAAAATAATCATTGCAACGCGTAACACTTCTAGATCGTTGATAATTATGTCTACATTATACATTGAAAATCATTCAAGGGTCGAAACATCTGTATAAAAAGATTTTTACAATATGTGTACACTTGTTTTTTAGTAATCTAATTATATACTTTGTTTTTATTTATTTTACACATTGATCCAACGCTTGTAAGTCTTATATTCCTCCATTTTGATTGTTAATTACAAAATCTATAAATATATCATTGTTTTAATACTTGGTCAAAGGACTACATGTAATAACTCTGCTTAGAAAATTCAATAAGAATTGATAGAAACATATACAAATTTAAAATTACGAGAATGTGTATATACAAATTTCAACGAAATATTATATATATGACTTTATCAGAGCTTATCACTTTTATTGGAAATTCCAATTTCTTACATTTCAGCTCACATAAAAAGTTATCAATTTGTTTTATATCATAATTTGCTTTTAACGATTAAATATATTATTCTATAACTACTACTATTATTATTAAATAAGTAACTATTGCTATTAAATATTATATTATAAATTATTCGTAAAATTTTTTAAGCAGAGAATATAAAATTATGAAATCTTAACATTTAAATATAATGATACTTCTTCAATTTCAGTGTTTAAATAGTGAAGAGTTGTTGCGCACTGTCGCCCAAGACACACATTACTCTACCATCAATAATAACACCACAACATTGCCTGGCTGGCTTTTCGAGCGCGTGTGTCCGATCCTCGTGTATCAATTGACGGCCGAATCCAGTTCGGAGAGAAATGGCTGTATAAGGGTACCTGAAAATTACAAATCCGATAATTACGATCGAATGGCGGTCGATAACTTTTACACCATGGAGGATTCGCGCAATACCATGCAAGGTATACGTATAAGCATAATGTTACATAATTACTCGGTAAGCAAGAAAACATTACAGTAATGTTATTGCAACGTTATTCGGTAATATATAATGTCTAAAAATATTTTAATGTTGTATAGGATATTATTACGAACAAACCCTGAACTTTGACCCTGATCTAGAGATTTTGGTAATGTTAAAGTTACGTATCATAGTGTTGTAAGCAACATTGCATTTGTTCTTTTACATTCTGATATTCATTTCTTCAGTACGTACTAACAATGTCTCTTATAAAAAAAAATAAATATAAATTTTTCCATTGCAATGTTCCAAACAAATTAATGTTTGATCATTTTGCTCGTGAAAGTAAAAGAAATCTGGAATGTTATTTTTTGTGTCAGGTAGTGTTAATAAGTTTTGACGATATCTTGGTGAATCATGTTTATAATATACTCTTATATTGCTTAAAAAATATTTTGCAATGACATATTCGCTAGCAAATGTTGGAATGGCGCAACAATAGTCGATACGTGATGAATATTAATACAATGTATTTTAGCGAATCAGTGTTATGACTTTTGGATTTTTAACCACCCAAACAGCACCAAGTCGACTATTAGTCAGTCTATTTCTGTCAGTTGGCAGAAAAAGTATAAAGTCGACTTTAAAGTCAGAGAATGTCAACTTTTAGTCGACTGAAAGTCGACAAATGACTCGACTATAGTCGGTCATCAGTCGGCCAATAGTCGACTTAGAATTCGACTTTATGTCGACTATAAGTCAATTTTCAGTCAATGTTCTGAAATAGTTGACTCTAAGTCGACTTACAGACAATAGTTAAAGTCGACAAAAAGTCATCTTTGAAAAAGACGGCTAAACGTCGACTTTAAAAGTCGACTTAAAGTTGACTAAAAAAAGTCATCTATCAGTCAACTATAAGTCGGCAAACAGTCAATCGTGTTGTGTGGGCAAACATTAAAATGATTAAAGAAAACAATAAATCACTTTCAAAACACAAGATATGGAACAATTTATATTAATCACAAGAAGTTTTATGTTAATCTTCCTTATTATTAAAATATTTAAATTATTTTAGCAGGAATGGCAAAAATTACACTTCTCAAATATACTTATAACATTCAACAAAATTAAGTAGGACATTGCTGTCGAGTCAATATATTCTGAAAATGTTCAAGAAATGATGTAATATGCAAAACATATTATCTAAAGTCCAATATATCTCCCACAATAATTATTAATAATTTTATCCTCCCACAATCATATTAATATTAAAGTTATATTAGTATTTAATAGCACTAAGACATCCGTGCTAGCTCCTTATGTGCCATTAATATTTCACTATTAGTTTCCAATATATCTAAAAAAAAGTCCAGTATAAGTTTATTATATTAGAATGATCGTATGTTGAAATATCATATATTGTTTGGAATGTTACTTTCATGTTTCTTGCTTATTACGGTAACGTTAAGAAAATGTTTCGTCTCATGTCTTGAATATTCTTTCAATATTTGGAAAACAATATTATATAACATTTTCAAAATATTCATAAAAACATGCAAAAACGTTATAAAAATATACGTACGTAAAATATTAATGTTTCAATAAGTGGATATAATGTTTCTTGTTTACTGGTAATTTTGCGTCGATGAGCAATATTCTTTCTGAAAAGCAAAAGGAAGATTTGTAATAACTTATAATAATCGTCATTTTCACTGTTTCCAGTTTGGCTCTATTCGACAATTAGCATTGTCATAATTAGCCTTAGCGGGCTACTTGGCGTAGCAGTAATTCCAATTATGGGAAAGACCTATTACAATCATGTACTACAATTTCTAGTCGCCCTGGCCGTAGGTACTTTAACCGGTGATGCCTTTATCCATCTCTTACCACATGCAAGTCTTTTTTTATTTTCCTACGAAGTGTTTCGCGTCCTAGCAGATTGGAGTAACATTTTAACAGTGTGATTTTTCTCGTGCGTCCAGGCAATGATGTCGCCTCACCATCATGAGCACGATGAGCATCACGAGCACGAGGATGAGCACGAGCATCACCATAGGAGCAATGTTTTACCGTTCGATCACGAGGCGCAACATAATATGAACATGTGGAAAGGGCTAGTCGCAATGATGGGCTTCGTATTGTTCTTCTTCACCGAGAAAGCATTAACCATGTTGGCCGAATGGCGAAAACATCGGCAACGTCGTAACAAGGTGAGCAAAGAAACGTAATATGGGATGATGTTTGAAATTAACGAGACAAAACTGTAGCTGCCTACACGCGTGCGAGTAATGAGGGAAACTGATGGACCGAACAGCAACGTTGTCGGTGAGAAGCTGTGCAAACACAAATATTCGTCGTATCCGTATTGCTATGGCGAAATCGCCAATGAGACTCAAGGTAATACAAGTTCTTTTTCTCTTTATATGTTAGTAAATAATCTTATTTGCGTCGGTCGCTTAATACGCGTACCAACAGACACTAAATTATCTTTATTTCGATGACAAAAGATCGTGTATTAAATTAGTATGATTAACATAATTTCATAGAAAGTTACTATTTGATACACATATTTTATATTAAATTCTTTTTTATTTCGATAATATGCATATATATAATACCAGCTTAGTATTATAGTCTGTTATAGAACAATTTACACACATTTTTCTAATTAAGTTAGGCGCGCTCCAAGTTGGCATAATATATGTATAGTAGGAATGGGTCGAAACTGATTTTTAAGTCCTTGAAATTGGAATCGGAAACTTTGTAAGGCCTCGAAACTTTCGAACTTGAAATGCTAATTAAAAAGGGAGAGGGTAATTGTGTATAAAACAAGTTTCCTATAATATTATATTTTTCACTAAAAAAATTAATCTTTCAATACTTAAAACAGATAAATATAATTATTTTTATTAATGGAAAACAATTTTATCAACATTTTAATATATAATTATCAAAGGGATCAAGTTTTAAATATTTATTAAACATATTTAGATAGAATATTAAACATAATTATATAGAAGTAGTAGTAGTAGTATTAAATTAGAGAGTGGAGCTGCGAAAACTTTTAAGGTTCTTTAAATTTAACGATCCACTATCATATCTCTCTGTGTTAGCTTAGGATTAGGTATGGATGGCGAGATCCAGAGAGTACATACAGAGGGCCGTTTCCAGCGCCTCTGTCGGCGTGATTTTCCTGGTCCCTACTGTAATCCTCAGATAGTTTCCCTGAAGATTTTTCAGAAGGTTCCTTGCCTCCACCTTCTCCACTCTGAGCTATGACACAACGGAAGCATACATAATTCTCGGTAACTGTTTTATATAGCCATAGGGCGATTCTAGGTTTCAGGATCCAAGATCTACCCATGGCTTTTCTGCACGTCCACATGGATGTGTAGAATTTCTTTCTTTTTTCTAAGAAACGCTGTCTTTAACTTAACTTAGAGTCAATTAAGATATCAAAATATTTTACCGTATTTACGTATGTTAGCTCCTCTCCTCAGAGCCTCATCAGCTCTATTGGTTCTGGCTTGTATTTCCTGGTGAAAACCATGATGTTGGTCTTAAGGAGGTTTATTTTTAGTCCCTTTTCTTCATACAAAGTCTCTATGATTCTCAGTATCTTTATCATGCGCTTTCTAAGAGTTCTTAGAAAGTTATCCCTGATCACCACAGCCGCGTAGCCAAAAACCTGAAAGTCTTCTTGTATTCTTATCTAATAAATAAGAGTACAATAAATATACTTATGTTTTTCGCGAACGCTCCGTTGCAGTTGTCGGATATCTCAGCAGCGGATATTGATCAGCAGTAATCCACAATTGTGACAACTTGAAACTCTTCTAACTTTATTAGAAATAAAAATGTGTACAAATCAAACATATACCGCAATAAAAAGTTATTGTTTTATATATGTATACAAGCAGGATATCAGTAAACAAGCACGATATCATTAAAAAAAAACATTTATTAAAAAACATTTATTATTATCTTAATATTATCTTATTATTATCTTAATATTATCTTATTATTATCTTATCAGAGAAATTAACGCTTATAGATTGTTACGTCCTGATGGAAATATAAACCCTTATTACACCAAAGTCTTTTCTTTCCAATAGCGCAATACAAATTCAAATAAAGTCATCGTAGAAATATGTTTAGATAATCATCACAATCGCCAAAACAATCATCACGAGAGGCCTCCTATTATCGAGGAGGAGAAACCATTGACGTCCAACTGTAATTCTGTTACTAAAATCGTGACAAGTGATACGGAGAAGAATCCGAAGGAAGATTGGAGATTGGACGACTCAATCGTTAATAATTCCAAGAAGAATGTGGATGGTGTCGATATATCTCTAAACGAGTCAGAAAGCTACACTGTCATCATACGCGAACACGAAACTAAGCATCATGGACACAGTCATTCGCATGGTTCGTCTCACAACTGTCTCTCACAGTGACTAATTATGATTTAATTTTTTTCGTCAAATAATATAGAGGGATTAGGAGATGTAACGGCGTTACAAACAACGCGTTATGCGTAACACCGTTACCATGACAAATCTTTCTTTTCTTGGCTATTTAGCTATTATTTCTTTTCTCGATTACATCTTTTGGTAATGGATATAATCGTTATTTGTATCATAACTTCGCATATGTAGAACATATGTACATAAAACAAAAATAGTAGTGAAACATAAACGAAAAATCCTCAAGACTTGGTGAAAAATGACAATTATAACGACTCGTCATTTCTTGAGTTGTTAATAATAACGGTAATGAGTTGTTTCTTGAAGTTGAAAACGATGATAGTTTTTTTAATAGTTTTAATAGTTATATTTACTTGTTTAAATGTGTAACGACTTTAGAGTAAAAAGCCTTAGTAACACAGAACATTGGGGTAATATTCCTCTCTAAAAAAAGGCATGTAAGAGATTTAATTGTTGCCGCTTTTTCGCGATGCTGATTGGTTCCCTCGCTTCATGTGGGCTTGCTTCGTGTCGTTTGCGCCTGTCAAATTACCAAGCAAATAGCTGGCATTGCGTTTGTTAGATCAAGAAAAAAAAATATAAAAGAAATATGTCTCTCCCTGCCTCTCCTGTTTCTCCCTGTCTCTCTCTGTCTGTCCCTTTCTTTTCCTGTCTCTCCCCGTCTCTTCCTGTCTCTCCTTGTCTCTCCCCGTCTCTCCCCGTTTATCCCCGTTTCTCCCTGTCTCTCTCTCTATAATTATTAATTAAAGTATATTTTAATTTAATTTAATTTTAATTTTATTCTCTATTTAATTTTATTTTTTATTATTTTTTATTAGCTATATGACGCGCGCGTAGCGCGCGCATGTATTGTTCTAGTGGGCAATATAAAATTCCAAACATTGGCAATTCATTTGTTATCAATATTGGGTCATATTGGTCTAAAGCAGAGTTCAGAACAGTTTGCCAATTTTGGCCGATTCTCGGGAGCTATGCCTTCTATTTTCCCCTTGCCGCAAGCGGGCCACAAAAGTGACGGTCGAGCCTCCAAGCTTGAAGCCGCGACTGGCCGCGACCGTCACTTTTGTGGCCCGCCGCGCGGTAAGGAGATAGAAGGCGTAGCTCCCGAGAATCGGTCGAAATTGGCAAACTGTTTCGAGCCCTGAAAGTATCCCAGTGTAAGCCAATATGGATACAATCACGTTGTGCTATATTGACAATTTATTCACATTTTATCAATATTGGCTATATATATAGGCTATATTAACTCAATATATGTCAATGTAACCAATATTGGGCTAATGTAACGTAAATGTATATCAATATTCCGTCAATGAACTGTGCTACTAGGGAAATAATGGTAACACGAGTTACTTTTAAAAAGTGCTCTACTCTACTTTCTCAATTCTGGCCTTAACGAATTAATTGAAAAAAAATTTTTTATTGGATAAAACACAGCAAGGTTCGTAAAATACAAGTGCCGTGAATGATCTCTCTCGTAAACGGTTTTAACATTTTAGGTCATGTACATTCTGCACCCGAATCTATGTCTAGCGTGGCTTGGATGGTAGTAATGGGCGACGGTTTACATAATTTCACGGACGGCATGGCGATCGGTGCTGCTTTCTCAGCTAACATCGCGGGTGGATTTTCAACCGCTATTGCAGTCTTTTGTCACGAGTTGCCTCACGAGCTTGGTAATGCTTGTGTATATATAAATTGTGATAGTATATCTTTATTCCAAACAAGTAATAACGATACACACACACACACAAGCAATATAGAGACATTTAACGTAAATGACGTTGCGCAGGCGATTTTGCGGTGCTGCTAAAAGCGGGAATGAGTGCCAAACAGGCAGTTTTTTATAATTTATTATCCTCGGTGCTCTGTTTTTTTGGCATGATAGCCGGAGTGCTGCTGGGAAGTACTCCTGCTACGACTAGCTGGGTATTTGCGGCTGCTGCTGGAATATTTATATACATAGCATTGGTAGATATGGTTAGTTTCTAATGTTTTGTCTTATTCTAATTCGAGTAACTTTTATAATAAGGAAAAAAGAGCGCAATTATAAATGTTCTTTTCTCTTCTAGATACCAGAATTATCATCAAATCATTCCGCGGAACATGGCTCCCGATGGCAAAGCATTTTACAAAGTTTAGGACTGGTAACAGGCCTTGGAATTATGTTACTTATCGCACTTTACGAGCACGACCTTAAGCACATTTTCAGTGACTAGTAATTTGTAAGTAACCATTATGTAATTGTTATTATAGTTATTGTAATTGTTATTATAAAATATATCTTTTTATTATGTATTTTGAAAAGGATCATTCAAAAGGTTATTTTTATGTAATTTCAGTGTTTAGCTGCTCTTTTGTATACTTAACAATATCAGCAGAAGCAACTCGTTTCCTCCGAAGTAATTACTGTTTCGTGTATACGCAAGATAGGACATAATGGGAAGGTCACACGCTGGACGAATCATAATTTAAACACTGCGACAATATTCGATTTAGAATTGCCGATGCAAATATTTTTAGTATTACAGAAATATGATGAGTATTAAATCGCAAAGTAGCAAATTTTTAATTTTCACTATTTTGATATAATAATTATAATCGAATCGATTGTTATTGTTCTATGTAGTTATGCCTTTAATTGTATTTTTTAATGGTTTTAGCTTCCGAGTTAAAATCACGTTTTCTGTTACTTTGTAATAAGATTCTTAGATAAGCGTTGCGACTATTGGATTTTGATGTCAGCAGTGAGAAATAACACGCTGAAAACTTGTCTAATATTTTTAAAACCCAGACAACATAATGTCTAAAATCGGGACATAAGACGCCTTAAAGATCATCTTTAAGATGTCTTTCAAACGATTTACGTATAAATGTCTTTAAAGCGTCTTAAAGATTATCTTTAAGAAGTCTTATGTCCCGATTTTAGACATTATGTTGTCTGGGAAGATACTTATATAAAATTTATTTTATATTAGTATTTTTATATAAAATAATTTTATATAAAAAGATACTTAAGTGAAAGAACACTTCAGGTCGTTTGAATATACTTATAAAATGCTCTGAAAACTATCATTTTTCTTTAATTGTAAATAAATAACTATAAAATTAACGCAACATAAAATCATTGATGTGACAAAACATGACATACAATTTTCTTCTTTAACCTACTTCTTCATATTTCATCATGATTTTATCATGTTTATAGCTTTCAAGTATTTTACAACATATTCAAGTTCTATAGGAAAGAATAGTTTTCAGAGTATTTTACAAATGTGTCTTTTAATACAAATTTTTTTTTTATTTGGAAGTAGCAGCACACAAAGATTTTGGGCATGCGTTTTCTCACTTCTGACGTTATCAGTCAAAAGTTCCGCGGCGTGGAACCAGGAACTTTACATAATAATTCGTATTAAAATATGTCATTTGTATCACAAAAATATTTTACATGTTTTTCGAAATCGACATGAGTACCATAAGCTACAATGAGAAGATGACATGTTGCCTTATGTTCAGAAAAATTTTTTAATTTTCTCTCTCTCTATATAGTATACCGACTTAATCATATTAAGAAATTTGAAAACTAAATGATTTTAAAATCCTTCTTTCTCCACGTTATGTTCGCAATTTAATCTTAATTCGTGACCCATGTAAAATTGTTCGTTAATAATTTACACGTGAAATGTACAACAACGACACGATTAATACGTACAATTTTATAGCTGACGTGTGAAACGTATTTTACGTTGAACTAATTAACGTCATGGAAACATAAAAATATCTAATCCGCTAGTATTACTTATCAGCTGTCTAGTATATATAATGATATATGGATATGTTTAAATATTATTTGTTTGAAGTAAATTTTTTGTGATAATTTTCTGTAAAATAATTTTTACTCACATATAAATGTATACATTACAATAGATGTATATCTACGTGACCACGAGAGTCTTAGTGTTGTCAGTGACGTTCTCGCAGTTTAATTGGATTCATCGCGGTATAAAAGTGAATTATTTAAAAAAATATACATTTAAAAAATGCGACCATTGCAAAATAGTTAAATAAATATTCGCTAAACATATTTTGATTAGTTGGAGCATCTTTAGTACGATTAATTTCTGTACGATCGCTACACTGTATTTCCTTATATTTCTTTTTATTTTTTAGGAAAGAATGGAATGCGCTCGCGCACTACGGTCTCAAAGAAGATTCCTGAAAATTTTTTCTCTCAGTATTTCTTAGAAAAGAATATCGTACATGACAATATTTGACATTTACATTTGTATAACTTTCACACAACATGAGTGCTTATTTTTTCGCCAAATATTAATAATAACGATAATATTAATGATAATGTGGTAATAAAGATAATGATAGTAATAATATAATTTTACGATTTTATACATTATTACGTATATTAAAATATTAGGAAATTAAATTTTTCTCATATCGTTATTCATATTTTACTATTATGAATATGACGTGTGCATGTTGGGTCAAGATATACATATTTAAAGCAAGCAAAACTGTGACATGATTTCCATATTTATCTGCTATCAATGACTCTGCTTTGGTCTGACTTTTATAAAGATACTTTTAATTTGATTTTTGAAGTATAACAAGGTCGCTTACGCATAAATTATGATATTCTAAATCTTACGTGTAGACAATATAAACCATGTATGAGATATCATCTTTATAGACAATGAATAATCTATAAATTTAAAGAATTATATAATTTATGAACATTGTACTTAAAAGTTAGAATCCATATAATTTTCTGATTACATTCTTACCTACAGAGAATTAAATGCATCAATCAGTTACATAATAAAATAAAAATCTCATGCAATTTGTTATCTCTTCTAAACATGATATTTATAATCAATATTCAAACTGTCTCATAATTTAATTACTATTTTTTGTATATTTTAATATAATCTGTATTTTGTATATTTTAATATAATCTAACATAATTTACATTGTCTACATGAAAAACGACCGCGTATACATCACGTAGAAAATATGCGAACAATTTGCGTGTACGTAATCTTGAAATCTATGGCACAATCCTAAAATATAGTTTAATTTTTTGTGTTGGATACGTCTAGCATTTCTGACCCAGTGCATTTAAAATGTAATGCTATAACACATACTGACTTTTTAAAAAATTATTACTTTATTTTGCCAATTGTAATGTATTTCTACTTATACAAAATTACAAGTTCCTCGTATCGCTTATGTTTTGTGTGTGCTCCTATATGTTTAGTATTAATATAATCAATAATAGCACGTTATTTTTTTTCTACAGAACATGTAAAAATGTAAAAAAGTACTATGTTCCTGTAAAATGATCAGTTCTGTTCAGATATAATATAACCATAGTTAATGTGTTGCTATTATTGTTAATAGATTAAGTTACATTCTGTTGAATTGAAAGGCTTGGGTGATTTTTTAATGTTAAAAATAAATAAAACACTTTTATTATAAAAATAGCCCACTATCCTTTGCTTGGTGAGAATAATAAAAAACTCATTGGCACACTAAAAATCTATTCTTCTATTTTATTTAAATAAATAATAATAAAATTATATAAAAGTATTTTGCTTTCATTCTTTTAAATTAAATTACTAAGGATATTTATACGTTTTATAGCTAATTTGATTTAAAACCAATCTTCACATGCTCTTATGTGAAAAAATAATCGAGAAAAATCAGGAAGATTCCTAATATTGTTGATTATATTAAAAAGAGACTGATGTTAATCCTTTCGTACTTCCGGGATATGTATCTCATTACGAAAAAAATCATAACTTTAAAATAATTTGTGTCATATTGATTTCGACCTTGGCTTGTTTTAAAGAAGTAGATTAAGTCTTGATAGGTGTAGTAAGCTTTAAGCAATTTACTAATTATAGTCGAATTATAGAAGAATAATCAATCGTAACTGGTCAATTTCTTACGAAATCTATTGTAGATCGAGACTAAATCTACACGTATAAAATCAGTATACTCTTAACCCTAGGTATACACACTTATTTTTCGCATACGTAGATGCTACACTGGGGAGATGCTATATTGTCTGAGGGATCCCAGCTACTTTTTTTATTATAACTCCGATAAAAATCACTGTATTTTGACTTTTTTCCCGATTGTTAATAGACTGATAAACACATATATTTATTAAGAATTAGGATTAAATCATAATAAGCATCACATAATAAAGATGTGTTGAAACATTAGAAATACTCATAAATGCAAAGGAAACGTCATTTTACTGAAATAGCTTGAAAAATGCATATCTTTTTTAATAATAGAGATAATCCAAAAAAGTTTTCAAATTTTGAAAGGGCATTTCAAGGTACAAAGAAAAAAATCGTCACTTAAATATTGGAATATTATCATGAAAATTACAAGGCTCCAAGATTGACGATTTTTCATATTATTTCTTGGCAGTTTTGTAAACAAGTATAAGAGTTAAGATTTTGTTAAAAAATACAAACTCAATAACTTGTAATGCATGTAACAGAAATAGAAACAGAAAAAGAAAAACGTCAAATAAAAAGCGGCAAATAACATTCACCCAACAAGTATCATTTTGGGCGTTTAGTCCGTGTGTTTCTGTCTCCCAATAAAAATTAGTTCTTTTTTTACATTACTTATTTAATCTAACATTTTTTAGAATATATATTTATACTATGAACTCGAATAAAATTAATTACAAAATATACTTGCAAAAAAAGTTACACGAAGTACACACTGAGATCTAGGAGACTGGGCTTACTTTACGTGTGAATTACCACAAAACCAACAGACAATTGACTACTCCGACAATTGCTATCTACAGAGAAGACTTCAAGTTTTTTTTTATACGGTGGTCGTATCCTCCTTACTTATTATCTCTACTAATACTAGAGTTTCAAACTATGCCTGGGGTCTCGGAGACCCCCGTGTGTACCTAGAGTTAAATTTAATATTTTCGAGAAAATAGTTATCTAAACTTATCAAGAAATTTAACTTTTAGTTGGCATACTAATGACGTCTCTTCGGATGTTTCTCCGTCTCGCTCAGCAAATGCATAGAAGAGGCGTCTTATTGACAAGTAGATTATTGGCTATGCAAGTTATATAACTGCATTACTATTCACAATTATCGACAATATATACGAAATAATAGATTTTGAGCTGTAGTCGAGAACCCATATAGCACAAATCTCTAAAAGACTTCTTAAAGAGTTCCAAAAGAGTTCCCAAGTCCTCCAGGACACTTTTAGAATTCTTTAAGAAGTCTTTTAGAGATTTGTGCTATGTGGGAGTGAGTATGTTCAAAAGTTTCTTGAAGAAGTCACAATCTGAGATCTATTATTTTAAAATTAAATTTTTACATTCTATTTTTGTGATCAGTGATCAGAACAAAACCTGACCCAAGTTCATATTTTAAATATATCAATGTTTAAGCTTTCATGGAAAGTGGAAATAGCCGTCATCTTAAGTCCGCCATTTCCAATTTAAATTTTGATGGTAGATTTGGAATCAGCGACCTGAGAAACTTCTATAATCGTCTCAATGTGAACATGTCTCCTCTGAAAAAACAAGAAGTACAAAAGGGTTAAAGTACTTGAGGTTCCTTGTACCTCGTCGCGGCTATGTTGAGTTTATAACGTCAGAAGCGAGGAACGACATATACTGACGAAAGTTGCATACCATTTCTAAATAAAGATAAATGTGGATGAAAGAGCATTTAAGACTGAACATATTCATAAAATTGTCTGAAAGGTATCCCTTTCCTTTGATTAATAATACTGAATTCTTTGATTCCTTTGATTAATAAATGATGAAATGAGATATATAGACAAAACAGATTTATTTTATCATTTCACATTCCTCATTTTACCATTTATTATACTATTTATTGAAAGGGATACTTTTTTAACAATTTTACAAAGATGTTCAAGCAATCAAGAGCAAATACTCTTTCGTCTATACTTATTTTTATCCAGAAATGGTATGCAATTTTCACCAGGTCGATTGTGTATTTCAAAACGGAGTGAAAATGACAAAAATGAGCAAATTTACTAGAATATTTATAACTTCATTGGTCAATGCCTAGTGAATTTGCTCACTTTTGTAATTTTCACTTCGTTTCGAGATACACAATCGACCCCCAGCATGTCAATCCTCGTTTCAAACGTTACAAATCCGGCATGGGCGGCGAGGTACAAAGAGCTTTAAACATACATTTCTAATTTAGTCTGCTCTAATTAAGAAAAATTTCCAACTATACAGTTCTTTATATTCTTTATATATCAGTCTATTCTTCAATATTTAGGTATCGCGTTAATTAACAATTGCGTTGATGTTAAATAAGTAATTTCACATACGCAACATTATGTGAAAATTAACTTTATCGTTGCACGCGCGTTCGTAGGTATGTGTGTATCGCGCGTGCGTGTTGTGTGTGTATGTATGTACGAGTGTGATTACTTTCATTTGATATTGATACAAAGCGCAAAATTTTTTTGTTCCACTTCAACTGACACTTTGATAAACTAAATAATCATACGATAACAACAAAAATATTATTTTATTCCGAAGATCACAATAAAATATTTTGTCATACAGTAACGAATTCGTCGCGATCGCTCATTTGCGCCGACAAACTGAATGCCGTGTCTGTACTGGTTTCACTGTTTAAGCTCTCGTTAAACGCTGGTTTTACGTGAGTAGAATCATTCATCTCTCTCATCAGACCCGCCATATCATCGTCGGGATCGATCTCCTGTGCCTCACCTACCACATCAATTTCCATCGACTGACTGTCGGTCAATGATGTTTCCAATATGGTGGGTTTCTGTTCTTCAAACTGTAACGAACGAGTTATGAGAAATTACGATGAGGAATATAATAATAGATTTAAGATATTTAAATTATAACGAACAATGTCGGCGGGAGCATATCTACGTACCTTCATAGGTTCCAATTTGCATGGCGATGGCAAATTCATATGAAAAACACAATTGGAGTCGAAAATTACGGGTACAGGCTCGTGACATTCTATATCCGCCCGTACTGCTCCGCATGCTTTGAACAAAACCTGATGTTGGTCCTGCAATTAGTCAGGAATTATATTTGATTTTTAGTTTTTTTATTATATTTAAGGTTTCTGTCTTATCGCCACGGCTATTTTAAAGTATCAGAAGGGATTTTTTACATGTTCGGGCATCTAAAAGAATAAATTATATTCAAGCGTTTTTTAACTTTGCAATGAAAAAATTTGAAGTTTGGTTGATATTGATAAATAATATTCATATTTCTTTGATATCGATATCTATTGCGTATTCCTATTCGGAAACGCGAATCTGTTAACATTTTGCATGATTTAACATTGATTTCCTATCAATATATAAATGTATCTTTGAGCTTTGAATTTTGTGTAAACTTTTCCTAAGAACAGTTTTCAAAACCTCAATTATACAATAGCGTTTATGTATACTTTCACTTTTGTAAGTCTATTTTACTCATATCAGTCTATCTGTCCTCAGTTAATTTAAATTTTCGAATAAAATTTCACTGGAAAAAAACTTTGAAAGTAGAATATATGGCATATTTGTGAACAAATCGTATAAGTTCCTAAAATTTTGTGAAAAAGGTAACAAAAATTGTAACAATTTATTGCTTCTTGAATAGTAACGGTAATAGTAAAGAGTTCTTTTTCAAAGTGAGTAACGATAATGAGATATTTTTTCCAAAGAGTAACAAATAACATTAATGAATTTCTTTAAAAAAAGTAACTTTCTCAACTTTGATATTTTCTCGCTTCTAATATCATATTAATTAAAATGGCCGTGGCGAGAAAATACAAAGCTTAAAGAATTATATTTAATTACAGAAATTATATTTAAATTGTTAAAGTCTCCTTTTTTTAACGTTCTATATACATACCTTTAAGATATGTTTGCGGCAATGTTTAGCCGATGGAAGAGTTCTTTCGCCACATTTCACGCCACCTTCGGTGAATATGCACTTGGATACATTGGGTGGTTTCTGAGCAGGTCCCTCGGTTACCTAAAGAAAAAGAAATGTAATTTCTTCTATTATATATATTATTATATATATTATATATATTATTAAGATATTAATTATATTATCAATAATCGCATTTAAGGCATTACTTGCGCGCGACGTTCTAACGATTTTCTGTATAATATAGCTTCAACGCCGCTTCGTCTGTGATAACGATTTAGAGCCTTCAGCTTCTCATAAATCTTCTTCTCTTTCGCAGTTTCTTTGGTCTGATCATGTATGCTACCTGCATGTCACGTGTAATTTATTTATTATTTATTATTAATTTATTTATTTATTTACTTATTTCTAAGCACAAGAGTTGTGTTGATCGTCATTCGATTTAAATTGTACAGCGAATTATGCTTACATAATGTTTCCTTTTCTTTCTTGAGAGCGAGCAGATACTTTCGTCTTTTTTCTTTCAATATATATTGCAATCTTCTAAACTGATCAATATAAAGAGATTGAAGCTTAATTAATTTTTCCCTCGCAATATAAATTACCTCTTCTGCAGTGAATATCCCGGCGTGCCTTAAAAAATTGATACTAATCACTTAGGTAGTAAGAACCGCTCTATTTTCGCAAGAAGCAACTACCACGACAAAATCACATAGAAACAAACACGTGTATTTCTCATCGTGAAAATAAAGGAATAGTAAAGATGTGTATGAGTTTGGTTGTAGGGTTACGCATTACAACACAAACTTGATCCGAATCAAACGGAATATCAAACAAACAAAATAGAAAATTCAAGAATATTCAAGCGCACAAATTTACAAGCTGTGATTCAAGAGAAGTAATAATGGTAAAGAATTATCATCATATAATCATCATATAAAAGAAATTGCACAAGCCAAAGCATGCTAGCAGATATTCCAATACATGATAGTACATATATTCAAAAGAGACAAACATATATCAATATTCAAGAGAACGCTTACTTCAAGGGATCTTCTTGCGGACTATGTAAACTTTCGTTATCACTATCGTCGAGATAAATCCCCCTCAGTGTGTCATTAACGACAGTGGGTTCAACGTCGCTTTCTGACGAACTAGCATAATCTAAAATGTCGCATCCACTTGCATTTACTCTGTAAGCATCAACTTCGGCTGAAAACAATAATTTGTTGACTTGTAAGTGTATCTGATCGTAAGTATATCTCGTAAGTATATCTGTTTGAGTTCGTGATTTACAATTATCGTCAATGCGCAAGCAACAATTATAAAAGATATGTACTTTACGAAAGAAATTTACGGTTGAAGTTTAAATTTTATCCTATGTTAATCTTATACTCTCTATTGGCCAATTGTTGTAACTTTTTGGTAAGTTAATTGATAGTTAAATTATCTGTCTTTGTTTCATTTGAAGGAAAAACAAAGATAAACATATGATTTAACTATCAGTTAGCTTACCAAAAAGTTGGAATAATCTATGTCTTTCAGGGACAAAAGAATTCAACTCTTTAAGCAATATTTAATCATTTAACAACGTAATCACTCAATGGATTTTCTAATATATTAACTCCTTTACTGTCAACATCTAAATTGCACAAATAGGCCCAAAATGTTTAGTATTAATCAATAAGTTAATTGTGACAAATATATACAGGGTGTCCCACATCACTTTCATAATCTCTCGTGAGGACGTAGAATAGATTGAGATGAACACAAAAGTCTCATACCGTTTTGCAATATTCGCAATAATAACAGAGAAATTAATTGTAAAAGATTAAGGAAAAACGTACGCTGAATGATTGAGGGAGGAGCGCTCGCGACCCTAATATAGCAGGCAGATATCAGCGCGCAGTTTATCGCTACGATCCTACGTCTTACTGTATTGCGCCGAGGCGAGATGTAGGAGTGCAGCGATATAAGTATAGGCAGTGATGCATTGTTTTTCCAATCACCGCGCGCTGACATCCGTGTGCTATATTATTAGCGCTCTTCCCTTAACCATTCAGCGTACGTTTTGGGCCTATTTGTGCAATCTAGATGTTGACAGCAAAGGAGTTAATATATTAGAGAATCTATTGGGTGATTACGCTGTTAAACGATTAAATGCTGCTTAAAGAGTTGAATTCTTTTGTCCTTGAAAGACATAGATTGTTCCAACTTTTTGGTAAACTAACTGATAGTTAAATCATATGTTTATCTTTGTTTTTCCTTCAAATGAAACAAAGACAGATAATTTAACTATTAATTAACTTACCAAAAAGTTACAACAATTGGCCAATAGAGAGTATAAGATTAACATAGTATAAAATTTGAACTTTCAACCGTAAATTTTTTTCGTTATTAACTTCTTTGCTGTCAACATCTAGATTGCACAAATAGGCTCAAAATGTACGCTAAATGGTTGAGGGAAAAGCGCTTACGAAAGAAATTACATGTCTTTTATAATTGCCGTCCTTACGAGAAATTGTAAAGGTGATCTGGGACACCCTATATGTACAGATTTTCGATGTCACTAAACAAGAAATTGCTGTTAAAATTGATAAATTCAAAATAGCTAATTCAATATAACGAACAATAAAATGAAAATATAACAGAATAAAAAAATTTTTTTACTGAATTTTAATTCATATGAGTTTTTTTAAGATATTGACTATAAATCTGATCTGTCAATAACCAAATTAAAAATAACATATTTTGCAAGAATTTTTAGCATAAATTTTCTCGTTTCGACGTCATTAAAAAGAGAGACAATACGAAGGGCCAGGAGCCTTAATATATTTCTGGCCTCAAAATATTCATATTCTATTCAATATATTAATATACAAGATGTGCCACACTCTCCTTCTCACATTAAGTGGAAATGAAACAGGTTGAACAGGTTGAGGTAAACATAAAAATCCTATACCGTTTTGCGATATTCGCAATAATAACCGAGAAATTAATTGTAAAAAATTAAGGAAAAACGCACGCTGAATGGTTGAGGATGGAGCGCTCGCGGCTTAATAATATAGCGCATGGATGTCGGCGCGCGGTGATTGGAAAAACAACGCACCATTGTCTATATTTATATCGCTGCACTTCTACATCTTGCCTCGGCAGGGTGCGGCAAGACGTAGGATCAAAGCGATATAAGACGCGCGCTGACATCTGCCTGCTATATTACTGAGTCGCAAGCGTTCCTCCCTCAACCATTTAGCGTATGTTTCTCCTTAATCTTTTACAATTAATTTCTCGGTTATTATTGTAAATATCACAAAACAGTATAGGACTTTTATGTTCATCTCAACCCGTTCTACATTCCCACTTAATGTGAGAAAGAGAGTGTAGGACATCCTGTATATCCAAATTTTAAATATAAGATTGGACTATGAATACATCTTTATGTGAAACAGTGACATGATAACCTTAGTATTAAGAAAAAAGAAAGTATAAGAAATAAACAATACAATACAAAACAATACAAAGAAATAAAACAATACAAGAAACAAAACAATAATGGAAAGTAACGATTTTTAATCGTTACTCTTAAATAACGGTAACGTGTTACCTTTTCAAATTCAGTAAAGAGTTATTTTTTACCGAAAATAACGGTAATGGTAACGCGTTACTTTTAAAAAGTAACTCTCAACCCTCGGTAAATATATACAGATATTATAACTAAAAACATGGGTCATTAGACAACTAATTAACAATTGCAGGCACGATATTTACTGAAAGGATCCAGCGCTTTCACTTTTCCGCTCTCTTCTTCCGTATCCTCGGCACTGGAATCTGTAGGTTTTACGTAGTGACTTAAATTAAGTAGCAGCATTTCTGGCGTTTGCGGCAGGGAACGACGCGATGTCGATTTGATGCGCGAGATCTGAGCCTTCCTAGAATGTTCGTTGCAGTATCTGCAGAAGTCAAACACGAAAATATAATATTTTAGTTTACCAATAATAATAAATTTTTAATCTATTTGTCTTTATGAAATATACAAATACATACGAGATATCTCTCCTGTCCAGTTTGGGAGCCGGATTATGACATTTTCTTCCATTCGTATTGTAGACAAAAGCACATTGTTTGTAGGGCGCGCTGGGATCTTCAAGGATATGTTTGGCACAGTAAGAATAATCTTCTAGGCATGGCTGCGTGCATTCGTAAGACGTGTACAGGCAACCTTGGATTTGCTTAGGTCGTTTTGCCATTGTCGTAGCAGCAGTAGAAGAAGCGATTGAAGATTTAGGTATTCGAAACATTCCTTGCCTGAAACATAAATTTAATTTTCTTAAAATAGATGCGTTGTTCAATTTTTTAACATTTATAGTGGTGCATCAAGAAGCCACTTACAAATTTACTAATTTCTCTCTCTCTCTCTCTCTCTCTCTCTCTCTCTCTCTCTCTCTCTCTC